CTCAGGTGATCAAGCGTTTTGAGCTTGGAAAATATATAGTTTTGTAGCTTTTGCAAAGAGCTATCGAATGGTAAAAACCCAAACTCGATAGCTATTAATATTGGTGAATTATTATCAAAACACTGTGGCATATATCTATCATAGATCCATGGAATGGACCCATGATCTTGAACACACTTGATACAAGAAAGCAACCAATTTAAAATATCCTATCTAAGTCAATTTTTCAAGCTGAACACGAATCTGAAGTCTATTTTTGTGATTTCTGTAGAAATTGTATGACTTTGTGGGGTAGGATCAATGCTGACTAGGTAGAACAGGCCACAGTGTGGTCCATACTAACTTGGCCCCCGAGTTTTTTTGTCTTGACAATTTAATGTCAAAAGATGTATCTTGACAAGATCTATGTCTGGTAAAAAAAGAAGTTTGGGCCCGCTTGCACCACTCAAGAAAAGCCCAAAATACTGCTATCTCAGAGTGTAGGATTTCTTGAAATTTTGAAGGTTTTTGATCTATAGCGTTTCTTTTATCCCAGATATGAATCTTCGAAATAGGATAAATTTGTAGCGTATACTGTTTCCTATCTAATGATACGTACCCGATCTCAAACGGTCAAACCATTCATGAGAAAATATCGAAATAGTGACCACACCCAATTTTAGCGACTTTTTAGGGTCAATTTTGACCCCCTTAAACTTGTTTTAGCTCGGATTTTTCATAGGTAAAACCAAATGGCCTGATATTTTGGATTTGACTATAGATCATCTAGGCCTATCATTTTAGAAAATAAAATCGAAAAAAAAATTTTTTCTCCGGCGACCTAGGGTGGTCCTCTCGCGGACCCTCTCTTAAGCTTTTGTCTGCAATCAGGGCTCATTAAGTTCTTCTTATGGTAGAAGTTTCAAGGTAAACAATCCTTATATCGATGGATTTCGACTAGCTGCGGGAGTTTTGTCCAGGACTGTATATAACTGCTCGTTAAAATTCAAACACGTGACATTTGCATAATTTGACTTGTCTTTTTCCAAGAATATTGTATATTGAACATCATGCTAACCATGATCGATAGAATACATTTGTCTTTCTTTTTTGTCCCAGGCCTGTTCCTTTTTTGTCTGCTTCTTTTGTCTCTTAATTATCGCAACAACGTCGCTGTTGCCACTTTTCATATAAATAACTATCGAATCGAAATGTATCTCTGGTATAATATTTTTTTACGTCCATACGCGTTCAGATGCGGCTTATGACCGACATGCGTCTGGGCGTGTTTCAGACAATATTTCATACATTTGAAAAGAGATATCAAGCTATCCCCGATGCGAACAGAGACACCATCCACATATTGTAATGATAGTATTAGTCTAACTTGGTAAACGGAATTAAATATTACCTTAAACAGCCGAAAACAGTTTTGAGAGTGTGGGCGTGAGCGTTTGAAAAGACAAAAACGCGCCCACACCCACAACAAGAAATCTTCCTTCTTTACTTTCACGAACTTTTTATCCATTATCGACAGAGAAAATCAGCAGTGAATATCGTAACTGTGCTATCGCCTATGGAACAGATGTATATTGTGACCAACCCTTCATATAGATAACTATTTTCTTTCTTATAATCCAGATTAAATTTATATTTCATTAAAAAAAACACCATCCTTTTTTCTAACGTATTTTTTATTGTTGGATCTCTACCTGTTAGTTATGATTAATATATCATGTGATGCAGTGAAGTCTGTACTTTCGCCTTATATTCATTATCGACAAAAATCAAACTATAATACTCTAAAGTAAGAAATACGAAGGGGGAACTTTAATGGAGACGCACTGTACTTCAACACTCATTATGGGCCGTGTTTCACAGGAGCAACTGAACAGTTTTATACTTCTTTGTTTTTACAGATTTTTCTTCTGGTTCAGCATTGTCATGTCACTTCATCTTAGCTTCCACGTGCCGAATATCATTTTCCGCTCGTATTATTTCCTCATGTGTAGGTGGTAGGGTCTTTCTTAAGATTCGAAGTGCTTCATTGTAACACTGATGTGCCACTGGATAATCACGTTGGAGTTCGTAGAGAGCACCCATTTGATTATAAGTTCTTCCGATATGATTATGATCTTTTGGCAGTGTTCGTTTTTGTATGACAAGTGCCTTCTTATAATAACCTAAAGCTGCATCTAATTTAGTTGTATCTCTGCACACATTGCCCATGGTACGATAAACATTGGCACAAAACTCATGGCGAGCGGGTAGAATATCAAGCGCTTTTTGTGAATATTCCAATGACAAATCAAATTCTTTTCTTCGCCAATGAAGATCCGCTATTTCCGAATAGGCTTGTGCCGTGTATGGATCATCAAATGATTCAATTTTTAGCTGAAGTTCAAGGTGTTTTAAATAATTTGTTAGCGATGTGTCATAATCACCTTGCAATCGAGCTACTGCTCCGAGCATCAAATAACAACTGTTTGCTTCAAAATCATTCCCTGACTCAATAAGTGCTTGGGTTAAAATAGATGAGGCCTTTTCATATTCGCCCATATCTCCTAGCATTCTTCCCAAATCAATAAGACTGGGCTGGTTACCTAATAACTTCTTTTCATATGCAAAAATATCTTTCAATGCGTAGTCATCATCAGAACATAATACCAATTTTGCCATCCACATATTCTGTGTTTCATTAAACTTTACATCTTTAATTTGAAAGATACATCCTAACATCATTAATGTTTCATCTTCTTCTTGAAAATAACTGAGATGTCGAATGTTAGCAAATGGCTTCGAACTGCTTAATCGTGTATCAATGTCAAAATAAAATAAAATACGTTGTGTGTCATTATCGATTGCCACTTGTTTGGCAAAACCCAAGGCTGTAGCTTCATCCGTCGTGGTGGATAGGAAACTATTCATTGAAATAAATTCACCAACACTTGCACGTATCGTACTTAGTTCATCTGCAGATATCGCTTGTCCACGATAGACACGTAAAATAGGATCACTATCACTTGGTAGACTTTGAAGAAAGTTTTGATATTCAAAGGTTAATTGCTTGTGAAGGTCCGTAATAAAGAAACGAAATTGTAAGAGGAGCCCAAAGTCATGTGATCGTAAAGCTTTGTTTAGAAGACGATAAAAACATGTTTCACGAGTATACCACCAAATTGCATTCTGTGGTACATATTCACGCTCAAATTCGCAGATGACACGTAGCTGTTCGTCATTATCCTTATATATGTCTTTAACAAAGTTGATCAACTCATTTTTGCTTTTTTCTGAAGATGTTTTCATTTTGATAATAATTTCTATGACTAGTTGAAGATACATGAACATAGCATTTCTATGTTCAAGGCTTGCGCCACCATTTCGATTGTAAATGCTTATGCCAATCGAATTAGTATCAAATCTTCCAAGTAAGCGTTGATCTTCTTTTAAATGATTGATCAATTGCTCAGGGTCAGTAAATACACCTTTTGACTACAAAGAATGCATAGAAAAGTTACTTCGACACTTTTTGAAGTTAGCGGCTTACAACCTTTCGATAACTCTCTGCCCACTGTTTGTTACTCGCCATGTTCATGCAATAAACGTAGAATGCACTCAATTGTCGTACATTATGAATACGTGGAATCAACTCCCGTCCGAATCTACCTGACACGATCAGGACTATCTTCTGATGTGCGCTATCTTCCTTACGCACATATACCTCGCAATCTTTAACATTGTCGAACGTTTTCAACTGATTGATCGCTTGACGGAGTGTTTTCTGTATGACCAGATTATCTTTTGTCAAATTAACAGCTTCATCTAGCCATAAAAGTTGATAATTTTCTGACTTCTGCTTGAGACGTATATGAGACGATGTACTAGTTGTTGCCGCAGAGCCTACTTGCTTCGGAAGAGTTGTCGATGACGATGTGATGGACTTGCTCGTAGCCATGACTCTATGAAACCACTAGAATAAGGAGAAAACAGGAAGGCGTGTGGGTGAACTATTGTTGTAATCAGAACCGTCACTGTTATTATTTATTTATTTTTCTTTTGTCAGAAAAGAAAAGAAAAATTATCATCAAAATTTTTGTCAATGAAGGCGTGAATATTATATGAAATCATCTGTTCTCAACATAGACTTACTCTTCTTCAACTTTTACTTGAGTATATTCATGAGATGTCGTCAGTCAATCCGGTGACAACGTCGGAATTCGTTGACGCTTTCAGAATTTGTAGGCTTTTTTGCGCTAGCTATTTTGGTAATAATTTTTTTAATATTTTGATTCTATTTTCAAAGAGATATGAACCAAGTATCATGGATTCATTTTAGCCCTTTTGGATCGTGGCCGTAGATATACGTCTTTGAAGCTTGACTAAGGAAAGAAGCCCTTAAATATACTAAAATTGGGGTTTTTAGAATGGATAATATGAGTCTTCAAAATATTTTATTTTACAATTTTTCGCTTCTTTTTTCATGAATATACCCATGGGATATGATCAGTTAATTTGGTTTTTGTCTAAATGTTTTCTGAAACTCTTAGAACTTGTAGATTTTGTCGCGCAGATCATCTTGGTAATAAATTATTCAATATATGACTCTGTTTCCAGGAAGACATATGTGCAACAATATCAAGATGTTTTCTCGTTTTGATGATTATGCATAAAAAACAATGAATTGTACTCGAAATGAAGGTGATAGCGCTTTTAGATTTACTATAATGGGAACTCTATTAATGTATTTGGATCGAGCACGAAAATTTGTGCCACGATCTACATGAGTTTTACGAGATCTCAAAAATCCATATGATGACTATCTGATCATATGTAATACACACTGAAAAGAAAGTGGATGATAAATAACCATTCAAAACCAATTTAAAAAGCTGGTTAGCACAACCTCACACACTGTAAAAAATTGGTTTAAAATAATAAACGCTTCAGAAAAGTTGGTTAACCTCATAAAGCCTTTCATATACCCTTTTTTGGAGTTTATTAGTATCATAAACCCTAGGAAGGGTATTTTATATGTTGCATTTTCATAAATCCTTTAGGGTATATGAGCAGTAATATACCCTTAGAAGGGTTTATTAACTTCATAAATCCTTCGAAAAAGCGTTTTATATTCTACGGTTTCTTCTAAAGGGTACATTAATAAACGCTTTTCTGAAATATTTATGAAGTTAATAAATCCTTCTAAGGGTATATTACTGCTCATATACCCTAAAGGATTTATGTAAGTGCAACATATAAAATACCCTTCCTTAGATTTATGAACTACAAGGGTATATGAAAGGGTTTATGATACTAATAAACTCCAAAAGAGATATATGAAAGGCTTTATGAGGTTAATCAACCTTTCTGAAGCGTTTATTATTTTAAACCAATTTTTTACAGTGTATGGGGCTAAAATGTGGAACTCACGTATGCTCTTTAGCCTAATTAACCTAATAGAAAATACGTAAAGTGAGTAATCTCTTGTAGACTATAGTTGTTGTGCAAAATAATCGATCGAGAGAGTAAGAACCTCTCTAATTTCTGCATTTCGAACAGAAAATTTTTACTTTTTCTACGGGCGCCCTCTTTTTTGTTTGCATTGTTGCTATTTACTCATTACTTTTAATTTTTTTAAATGCGGTTTTCTTCATTTAATATTCTTATTATTATAATTATTGAATTATTAACATATAAGTTCGTTTTACGTATTCATGATATCTACAGCAGATCTTGCGCACTATGATGTATTAATCAACTCACAAACAACAATATTCATTATTTTTCAAAATTATAACTTGATCAATTTCTCAAAAACTCCAGAAAGTCTAACGCCTGTTATTCTCACTTGCTAGAGTCTGTAATGGGGAGAGGAACTACTCTGGTTACTATGGCCTTTAATGGGGGTGTCTGCAATGGGGAAAGGTGGGGAGCCGCAAAAACCTGCTCTTAAACTTACACTCACCATTTTCTTCGAAAATATATATGAGTTCCACAAAACTGAATCATTCAGAGTAAAGACATAAGCAAATCGGTACAGTAATATTTATTCTACAGCACGCACTAAGTAGTTTTTCTCCCACATTTTATTTCGCAGGGGATAATTTTGAAAAAATTTATATATAACTGCACATTCTCCTTAAGTGAATATACAGTTAGCCTTTTATTCAAAATATTTGGGATGAAGAGTGATCTCTATTTCTTTAGTAATTATGTTTTTTGTGGAACTCACGTATATTTTCGAAGAAAATAGTGAGTGTAAGTTATAAATTCGAGGTTTGGCGCCTCCCCCTTCTCTCCCCACTCCCCCATTACAGACCTTAGCAACCAGGATTAAATAATGGATAAATAAATAAATAAACATATATATTATAGTTTCATTTGCCATCTAATTCAATGCTTATAATAAAAAAAAAATATAGAATTAAGACACAAAAGATTGTGAAAAATAAAAAATACTGAATTTTTATCTGGTCGTCATCCAACCACTCTAGCGAATCTATAGTACAACTCGTCATAGAAATTAAACATTTTTTTACGAGTTTTTACGTAAGAAGCTAAATATATATTCACTTGAGAAGAATAAACATTTATATGTGAATGTTTTCAAGAATTATTTCCTGAGAAACCAATGGTGAGAGGAAAACTAATTAGTGCATCTGGTAGACCGAGCTCCGCTCTATCGAACTAGTAATATCACCATTCCGGTTAATTCCAACTTCTTGATTGACTTTTTTTGTGTAATTTTCATCTCTAACACATTACGCAGTGACCCAGTGAACTGTATCAAAATATTATATTTTCTAATGAATCTGATGTGGTTTTTCACATAGAATCCAAATCTGTAATTGAGTTTACAATTCGAGTAGATAACAAGGAACTATCATCGATATTTTGATAAACATATGACTTTTATTTATTGCAAAACGGCTTAAAATGCATCCATGATATTTGATCCATGTCTCTTTGAAAATAGAATCAAAATATAAAAAAATTATTATCATAACGACTAGTGCAAAAAGATTCTACAAGCCCTGAAAGCTTCAACGGATTCGGGCATGATCACCAGATCGACTGGCAACATTCTGTGGACACATCCACTTTTATTTCAAACGAAAATCAAGGAAAGTTTTCTTTCATTTTAAAAAGAAAAGAAAATTCGCTGAAACAAAATTTCGCAAGAAAAGTCGCGGCTATCACAGAGCATAATGGACTCTTGACTTACAACTTATATCTGTTAAATATTACTTGTAATTATTTCGAACGAAAAGACAGTTTTCTTTTACTTCAAAGAAAAAGAAAAGCCAAAAGGAAATCGCGTTGGTGTGGACACCTAGCACCCCATCAGCAGCAAACACTTCACAGCACCAACTACCACATCTCTGCATTTCCTAGCACCCTACAACATTCAATCGCATCCCTCATTAGCTTATCCTACCGAACTCGGATACAATTCATTGTTTCTCAGCAATCAGTCAGACTTTCAAGAATCTTAATAACCAGTTAATCTGACAACCATTTCCATTCAAAGAAACCGGCCCCATTAAAGCCAGTTTCTAGCTCACCAATCAGGTTGCGTGTGGGTCCTGGCGTATGTGGGTATGGGTTCACTTTAAAAAAAAGTGAAGAATAATAAGCCCTCACTATCTGTTTATTACGATTAGGTAAAGCTTTTTTATGTTTATGAGCGTAATCTACCCTTTCATAAAATCTTGTTTTTCATAAACATTAGGAAGGATTTTGTGGTCCGTTGCAAATTCATATATCCTTGCACTGTTTTCAGTGTTTATTAACCATTTTTGGGCATATGAACGGAATAAACCCTCAGACGAAATATTTATTATTCTATGCTTGTGTTTTAAATGTGTAATGATAAATCCTTCGCCTCATGGTTTATTTTGTTCATATACTCAAAAAGGGTTTATGAACACAGAAAACATGACAAGGATATATGAGTTTGTAACGGAGCACAAACTCTTGCCAAGATTTATGAAAAATTAGAGTTTATGGAACGGTAAATAATGCTCATAAGCTTAAAAAGGTTTTATCTAATGGTAATAAACAGATAGTGAAGGCTTATTATTCTCCACTTTTTTTGTGGAACATGATCCAAAAGGTTTATTGAAGTATAAAGGGTAGAAATTTGGATCCGCCACAGAGTCTAACAGACGCCAGTCAAAGACCATCGCAGACCGTGGCAGACGCTAGCCAGAGACTATCACAGATCATTCATCAAGAGCGTCTTGTTATAATATATGAACTGCTTTTTTGTTGCATTTCTGAAGGATTAAGTAAAAGCATGGTGAAGA